CACACACACACACACACACACACACACACACACACACACGGGCCATAGAAAGATCCACCCCAGGGTTCCATCTGGCCATATCTGGCAGTGTCTTTGGGTGAACACCGTGCTACAAGGAGGGGAAAAAATCAAAGAGGGTGGAGACACTGAGGAGGCACAGTCAAGCAGGAGCAGATGGAAGGCCCGAGGGCACCTCCTGAGGATGGACAGTTCAGACTGACTTAATATCACGACATCCCTGAGGTGGAGGTTTCCCACCACTTCTTCCAACTGCTGCAACTTCTCAGGGTTCTGTGTCACCTCCACCCTTTTGCCTCAGCACCAGGTAATGGTTTGAAGCTTTATCTCCTTGTGACCAACTCTCTTCCAACTTTACCTCCTTTCTAATATGACCTCCATGGCTGCCTGTTGGAAGGCCTCCCTTCCATCGGGAGCATCTTTTGGCTGTGCACTCCTTCCCTCACACTTCTGGTGGCTGTTCTTTGAATGCCAATTTCCCAACACAACACTGCCCCTCTGCAAGCTTCTGCCGAAGTCTACATCTATCTTTCAAACTCCAGGCATCCAGAAAAGTCCTTTGCTCCCCCAACTGTAGGCTACATGTGCTCTCTGCATTTATGGGTTTCCTGGGCAGGCAGAGACACTGGATGAAGCAGCACGATCTTGGCACTGTTTGACCCCGGTTCATCCTCATCTCTCCTTTGTTCCTCCACTTAGGGATTCTGCATAATGATCTTTCTGAAACCGGAAGCCATCCGGGAAGACAGAATCTCCTCATAACATAGGGTAGCAGGCAGAGGGAGCTGGAAACAGTAGCTATGCCAGAATTTGCCTCAGTCACTGAGCTGTTAGAATTGAGTGTCAGAAGCCATCAAGTCAAATTCATAAAGACTAGACTATCTCATGGTGCTGGATATTTACAGTTGAAAATTAATGGGCTCCTAAAGATGTTCACCCAGTCCCAGAACCTGTGAGCATGACCTTGCCGGGCAAAAGAGAGTCTGGTTATTTTATTAGATTAAAAATCTTGAGATGGATCAAGTATCCTGAATTATCCAAATGGGAGGAACTGTTATCACTGAAAATGTCCTTATAAAAGAGAGGATGAGATCCAAATGAGCAGCTGGAGCTCTGAGGAAGGAAGAGGCTGGGGTCATGCAAGGAAAGGATGCTGGCATCCCCAGAGGCTAGAGAGGGCCTCCAGAAGGAACAAGCCCTACCAACACTTGGCCAATATGGCTGATTTGGGCTTTCTCACTTCCAAACTTTAGGAGAATAAGCTTGTGAGGATTTTATGCTTTTGTATTTGTGATGACATATTTTACAATTACAACTCATTTTTGATAGTAATTTGTGATAAATTATTAGTAACAGCAAGAGACAGATCACTATAAAAGGCACCAGTGGTGCAGGGAATGCAGCTTCCTGCTAGATCCACTCTGGCTTAACACAACATGGCTATGTTCTCAGCTGTGCATAGCAACCCATCAACAGGAGGCTTATCTAGGGCAAGGGTGTGGGAGAGGGGATGGGAAGCTAGTGGCTAAAGGCCAGGGAGTCTTATTCTCTTTTGAATTTGTCTCTTTCTTTCCTTCATTTCCTTCTGTTCCTTTTTTCTTGTTTATATGTGTTCACATATGTGCATACCTGTACATATGTACCCATGTGTGTACAAACATGTGCATGAGTACCAGTGTGTGGGGGGGCACACACATGTGCACATATGTGTGTGTGAGGGCCAGAGGACATTCTCGGGTGTCTTTCCAAAGGTACCATCCACCTTGCTTTTTTTCTGAGCCAGGGTCTTTGTTGGTCTAGGGCTCACCAATAGGATAGATTAATGGACTACTGGGGTCCCAAGGATCCACCTGTCTAGGCCCTCCCAGGGCTGGGATTACAAGTGTGTGCCACCACACTTGGCATTTAGAAACATTCTTCTACTTAAAAACAATTTTATCATGGGTTGTAAGGATTCAGCTTAGGTCTTCATGCTTGCAAGGTGAGAACTTCATTGACTATGACATCATTACACACACACACACACACACACACACACACACACACACACACACACCGTTTGACATTCCATCTTTGCAGGTTTTCATGTAACCCAAACTAAGACAGTTTTGACCATCTGATCCTCTTGAATAGTTGGTCGCCCCAAGAAGGACAAGAAGCAGTCAAAGTATCTTGGTTTTCCAAATTGGCTTTATTATTTCCAGTTTGACTTTTCCTAAATCCTTGTATTTCTTATTCAAGATTCCTGAGCCAGGACCTGGAATTTACCACCAACTTCCAAGACAGAAGAGCTTGCCCCATAAGACATGACTTCAACCCTTAGAACTCTTCAAGCAGGCTATGTCTTACTAAAGACAAAAGCATCCATAACTCCAAGCAAAAAGAGCCAGCACAGCCTCATGTCCCACAGAGAAGAAACCCTAGAGAAGAAGATAGCGTACTGGGCTCTGAGCACCTTCACTATTCTTTTGCCTTTTGTGTCTGTAAACACAAGGTTTACACAGCACATTCCCCATGGTACACCAGGGTGGCCGGTGATAAATTGTTGCCTGGTGAGGCTGAGTGGACACCCCAGCCCCACCCCTGAGTGTGTCATGGCAGAGAAAGAAAGCCCCCTTCAGGGAAGACATCTGTGCAGATGGCCCACCGCATGAAAGCCATCCATTAAACAGCTCTCCAGACATTGCTTTTCTGGTCAAGCAACAAGTGAAAGAATCCCACCCCTGACATTGACATTGGCACTTGAAGAACACTAAAGAGGAAGATGACAAGGGTGGCCATGGGTTCTCCTGGGAAATGCGTTGGCTTGAAGTTCTTATAGCTGCTGAGCAGTTGCTGTTGATTTTTCCTCTTCAGAGTTAAGAATTCTCAGCTTCAGACATCCAAGATCACAGAAATAAAGGTTTTTATTGTTACTATTTAAAGAACATCACACAGGCCTTCATGCAGTTGTCACAGCCCTTAAGCCTAGAGGGACCCTAGCTTGATTTAGACAGTGCTTCTCCTTTTATGTCAGCTTCCCTGTCCCAGGCAGGCTCAAATTCATGGGCATTCTCCCTGAAAAGTTACTGCTGTACACACACACACACACACACACACACACACACACACACGCGCGCGCGCGCGCGCACTCGTGCACATAGTGTGCCTGACCTCCGTCTCTCAGAAGTTCAGCAGGTATAGGCCTTGTGTGGTGGTTTGAATGAGAATGGCCCCCATAGGCTCATATATTTGAATATTTGGGTCCCTGTTGGTGGAACTGTTTGGAAAAGATTAGTAGGCGTGGCCTTGGTTGGAGGCAGCTTTGAAGTTTTTATCAAAACTATTCCCAGTTAGCTTGTGAGCTTGTTCTCCCATTCTCCCCGACACATATCCCTCTTGCTCTTGCTCTGCCTTGTGGTGGTTGTGTCAAGATGTGAACTCTCAGCTACTGCTCCAAGTGCCATGCCTGCCCGCCTGCTGCCATTGTTCCCCACCACGGTGGTCATGGGCCCAACTTCTGGAACTGTAAGCTCCAAATGAATTCTTTCTTCTATAAGCCGCCTTGGTCATGGTGTCTTATTGTGGCAATAGAAAAGTAACTAAGACCCCTGTTTAGTATTTGGGTGAGAAAAAAAGAAGGAAGGTCAATGTGTAGTGTCTTCTGTAACCAGTGGCTCTTAAACTTGACTGGGGGCAACTCTATGGCCGAATGAAGAGTGTCTGCTGAATTGTCTACAAAGCACTGCTGAAAGTGGAGCTGAGTCAGCCTGAAAGAGAAAGTATCAGGACCTCCAAGGCCAAGTGCTCAGCACAAAGGAGATTTGTTTGCCCTGTGGAGCAAAGGCCAGGGGATTAGAGACAAAGACAGGAAATAGAGGAGAGGGGCAGGAGAACAAGGGAGAGGAGGAAGGGGTATTTGCTCTGGGGACGGTAAGGACTGTCTCTGGATAAAGGGGAGACAGGTGTGGCACATAGGAAAATGGCATTTTATAAAGGGAAAGGAGGAAACCCCATGTTAGGATGAAGTGTTTAATTATGATTGGGTAAGTTAATTAGATGAGCCAAGGGGTTTCTGATAGCTGGATCTTGGTTGTCAGCTTCAGAAGGAGGAGGAAATGGCCAAATAAGGGAAGAAATATTGGTGGCTAGCTTCTGGAACATAATCTAACTACTTTTAGCAAGGAAGAGGGTATGGGGGAGAAGGGAAAGGCCTGTGGAACCATGCTCAAGTAGGCTAGTGTCCCATCACAGACAATGAAGGACTAGAAACACTCTTCCTAGACAGAAAGACCTTTCCGCCTCTAGCTACCTGTAAGTGGGAGGTGCAGCGCCTGTCATAAGCTGGTTACATGGAAACAGCTTTGTGTGAGACTTAGAAAGGAGAAAGAACCACCTACCTCCACCTCCTTGAGCCAGCTGTCTGTATGCAGGAGTTCTGGGCAACCGTGTGATTACAAGTCAAGCCATGATACAACCGTTCTCTACCCTACCGCCTGGATATTGGCCTCATTTTCAGCCTAACCTAGAAGCAGGGTTTGTGAGAACCCTGGGAAGACCTAGGGCAGAGGGCCTGCTTTCTTGACTGTGTTCTGCATGAGAGGAGGCAACCTCAGAACTTCACTATTGGGCTTCTGAGACACATCCTTGGAGACTTTGGGCCGGAACTCTCACAGCCATTTGCACCATCTTCTATGTAAGACAGGCAAGGCAGGGTGGCAGGGACACTCATTCAAGGCCTCTGTGCCTCTGTCTGGGACACCAGCAGCCAGGCTCTGTTTTCCTTCTCTCTTGTCTACTGTTGTGGGAAGCCCAGTCTCTGAATCCCCCAGAACATGTCCCCTGGGAAGCTCGGGCTCTTTTTGGCACTAGCTGGTCACCGACAGGCAGTGTCGGAGTTTGGTTGTATCACAACTATATAATTTCATTTTTAACTCTACCAAACACCTCACACTGCCCCAAAGCAGACCACCTGTCATAGACCTAAGCTAAGACAAGTCAAGTCAGGGCACTGTCCGCTCCCAGAGTCTTTCTCGAATCAGCCATTGCCCTTTGGGATTCTCTGCCTCAAAATGATCCTCCTCCAAAGACCCTGAGGACTCGTGTGTAAAGAGTTCCTCATCCCACTCCATGTCTTCTCTCGAGATGCTGCAGAGGATCTGTCTGGAGCTCCTCAGGCTGCAAGGGAAGGATGAGGGAGAGAGTCAGGCTCAAGCTGGCCACTGCACAGAGGGAAGGGATACCCAAATTGACACCATTCCTTCTGAGAACATCCATTGCACCCCCCCCCACTCTGGGCTTTAGGGAGAACCTTAAAGTGATACAGGGTGGAGTGTGGGTGGACTTCAATGGGCATTGACCTGGCCTTGAAACAGAAGGTTGAACACATGGTTTATTACTATGGAGTAAAATGCTGTCAAGGAAACTCTGGACCTACTAGGGTTGAGTGGCTTGTGAAGAGGTAAAAGGGACAGCCACGGAGCCTATCCTGTGGTGTGGCCTGAGTGGCTGCCCAGTACAAGGCAAGGGGAATGTGAGAGTTGGTCATGGGAACTAATCTTGGGAGAGAAGGGTCTGGCAGCAGAGAGGTCACAGGAGCCAGGGGCATTATGTCCCCCAGGGGCCAGGCCAGCAGGAAGTCTGGCCGAGCAGAGACTGGTCAATGCCTTCCAAGACAACAGCATCTCAGTGTAATGTTGCTTTCTGCTTGGTGCTCTACTCTGTACAACCCAAGTTGTCATTAGAGATATGCACCAGGTGTAAACATCGGGCTAGAGGGGAAGCAAGGTCTGAACAGAGGGCAACAGTAAGCCAGGCTATAGGCATACAGACTATGAGAAAACATCTCAGCCAAGTCCCACACCCACCCCCCATAAAATCAACAACCTTTGCACATGGGATGAGGGACCCTAAGAAGCACCCGGCAAATCTGAAGCACATTGAGATTGTCATCCAAGAACCAACTGTTAAGCCCAAACACTTACTCTTTTTTGTGGGCTTTGGGCTTAAATTTCAGGGTGTTGAATGCCCCTTCCACAGCCTTGGGTAGGTAAATGGGGTGTCTTTCAAGCCTCCTCTGGGTGCCAGTGACCCTGTGCTCTGTACTCCTTCGAAACCGACTGTCTGTAGTGGCGTGAGCAGCGATGGCCTCAGAATGTCTGCGTGGTGCCCGAAGAATCCAGTTGGAGTGCAAGCTGTGCTCCTGTGAGCTGGTTGCCACTGGAAGAGAGAAGCATGTGACCTGGGCAGCTGACCACTATCAAGGGAGCAGAACATAAAGGAGAGCGGGGAATCCACAGCAAAGGAAAGATGGGCTCGCTACAGTGGCTTCTGAGTAAGGCAGGGGCCAGGGGGCAGAGTCTGACTCAGCAAGTCTGGGGCTGGGGCGGAGAACCCTGATCTGTCCTTACTGATTCCGGAAAGATGCCCCAATGCATTGCATATTGTTCAAAGAGATGCTATTTTTGTTAAAAGTAAAATATAAATAAAATCTGAATGTTTTGAAAACCCTTTGTGAAAGCCATATGCTCAAGTGTGGACAGTAGTAGTGACTTGCAGATGGTATTTGTCTTTTAGTTTCTTTTTGAAATTAGTTTTTAGTTGTAATGACCTGCATGTGAGTGGGGGTACTCTAAGAGGCCAGAAGACAGGGTTGATTTCCCTGAAGCTAGAATTACAGGAGCCCGGTGTGGGTGCTGGAATCTGAACTCTGGTCCTCTGTGAGAGCAATGCTGCCTCGTAACTCTTTGAGCTGTGGCTCCTAGCACCTTTGTTTTCTTAATGATTCTGTGTGCTGTCTGGTCTATTTGTTTTTAGTGAACATAGATTATTGGTGCTGTTGGGGGAAAGGAGGTGTGCCAGAGGACAACCTTCAAGATTCACTTCTCTCTGGGAATTGATTGAATTCAGTTTGCAGGCTCAAGGGCTTTCACCACTGAGCCCTGCCACTGGCTGTTGTATGGCTCATTCTTCCCAATTGCACCCGTCCCTCCACATTTCCTGGGGGAGAGGGGTGATCACCAGCATCAGTGGTGAACAAAAGGTCACCACAAGGTCATATGTGACAGAACCAAAACTTTGGAGACTCTACCCAACACTGTAGAAAGGATTATAAACATTTCTAATTTATGTATTTATGTATGCTTATAGTTTATATAACTATAAACAGTTGCTAGGGGGGAGACAGAGCAGTCAAACTTTGGAGAGAATGTTGTGGGACTTGGGAGTCCTGAAGGCTGTCAGGACTCAGGAGTTGTCACCTGTGTTGGGGTGGGCTTCCTGGCAATGCAGGTCCTTTTGAGTTACCCCTGCTCTTTGTAAGAAACCCCTCACTCATGCTCCTGTTAATAACCTCAATAAAAATTCATTGGTTCCACAGTTTGAACATTGGTGCACTGGTTACTGTGGTCTGTCATGGGTTATCTGTCTAGGCCCTAGCCTCTAGGTTAAGTAGACATATTTATGTGATGTCTCCCCAGAAAAAGTCACACAACACTGGCCTTTTTTTTTTCTCTCTATGTTTTGTTTTTTTCTTTTCTTTTCTTTTTTCTTTTTGAGGCAGGGCCTCACTGTGTCATCCTGGTTGTTCTGGAACTCTGCATAAACCCACAGAGATCTGCCTGCCTCTGCCTCTCATGTGCTGAGATTAAAGGTGTGCTCCACCACACCTGGAACAATGACCTTTCTTATGTTTATGTTTTGTTTTGTTTTGTGTTTTAAAACAAGACCTCATGTATCCCTGGCTGGTTTTGAACTCTCTTTGCAGCCAAAAATATCCTCAGACTTCTGAGTGTCCTGCTCCGCTCCCGAGTGCTGCAGTTGCATGCATCATCAGCATGCCTCGTTCCTGCCATGCTGGGAATGGAACTCAGGACTTGGTGCATACTCAACAAGCCCTCTTCCAACTGAGCTACATTCCCAGCCTTCATACAGTGGGCTTTCATGACAGCCATTGTTTTCACTATAACCATAAAGATGTCCTATGTCCTTTATGGTTCTGTCATCCTTTCCTTGGTTTTAGTGGGTTCCAGGCCACTAAAGTGCACAAAGCTGCATGCAAGATAAAGTGACCCTCAGTGGTGTCCCCTTGGCATCCACAGAAGCCATCATGGAAATACAGGGGTTGCCACAGCCAGAACAACAATAAACCAGGAGCCTGCCTTGGGTGAGCATTACAGAATACTCAGGAATTACCTACTATTGGTACAAGTCACCATTCTCTTGTTGTCCAAGAGCTAGAGACTCTGGATAAAATCATTGGTAAGTTCCACAGTTTGAGGGTGGGGGAGCCAAGGAGAAGATATTAGCAATTCTGGAATGTAAAAAGTGGCTCAACTCCTAAGTGGTGGGACCTCTACTTTCTGCCAGGACACCAGTTACATTTTGGTTAAAAGTAAAACTTACCCCACTGTCCTCCCTCTCCAGGGGCTGTCTGGGTCTGGCCGTACACCCTGACCTCACCTCACCTCGGCTGTGCCTAATACTCCTCTTTAGCTAGGTTAAGAAGAGCTGAATTTTCAAACCACTTGCCCGTTTCCTTCTTTTATAAAGTGCCCATACCTCAGATATATACATCTATGTCCCAGGAGGTTTTAGTTTTTTGTTGTTGTCCTATGTATTTGCGAGTATGCCTTCCTCAATTTCCCACCACCCCGTCATTTTTTTTTTTTTTTAAGGCAGGGTTTCTCACTATCCTGCTCACTGATTCAGCTAGCCTGGCTGGACAACAAGCTCCAGGGTTCCTCCAGTTTCTGCCTCCACACACCCTCCCCCACCCAGCACTAAGATTATAGGCTCACACCATCACACATATCTGGCTGCTGGGAATTGAACTCTGGTCCTCATACTGTTGAGGCAAGCAGTTATAGATGAGCCATATATTAGGGCCCTGAGGTATGGATTTTTGAAACAGAGTCTCCTTATATAGCTTAGGCTGCCCTCCAAACTCTTGTCTGTCCTCCTAGTTCACCCTTCTAATTGCTGGGATTATAGGTGTGCACCATCATGCCCAGTCTGTTTGAGTCATTTTGATTACACCATTAGGTAGATTAAAGAATGTTCATATTCCAGAATTCTCATCTTGCAAAACAGGAACTTTCCCCCCTGTATGACACCATTCCCCGCTGATAGCTTTTCTCTTTAACCACTCCTTCTTGCTTTCGGTCATAGAGTGTTAGGGGGTCCCACCCTGACAGCTGTAGTAAAAAAACAAAACAAAGCACAGGTGTAGGCTGGGGCAGTGGCGATAAGGGCAGCTGAGACAAGGTAAAGGGATCAAGCCTGACATGACAGTGAAGGAGTCCCTTTCAGCCAGGAAGGTGTGGTCCCTGATTCCATCCCAGGAGCCCACTCAGAGCCCCACTTTCCTCCAGCACATTAGGGTGCCTCTCCTAGCCCTCACCATCAAAGTCCACGTCTTCATTTAGCAGGTCAGCCTCAGCAGTCCTTGGCCGTTTTTCTGTCTCTAGCTCTGCAATGATGGAGTCAAAAAAGGCGATGGCCTCGGCCACATCGGTGCTGAACTGGGAGTATTTCTTTGAGGTTGCTTTCTGCAACAGAAGAGCAGGGGAGTGGGTAAGAGAGAGTTGCCTGGGAGTTACTTGGGTGTCCTAACATACAAAAGCCAGAAACATTGAAAAGGATTAATATTTCTAAAACTAAATGCATATGGGGTTTTGTATTTGTGAGGTTTCAGAGGAAAATTCATGGCTAGGACATGGATTTAACCATGGTACTTATCACTAGGCAGATGGATTGTTTTTTAAAGGATGGAATACTGTGTGTCCACAAAGAAGACTAGAATCTTGTCATTTGTTACATTGTAGATGGAACTGGAGGCCATTATCTTAAGTGAAACAAAGCAAATACTGCAAGGCAAACACTGCATGTAATCATTCATATGTAGAAGTTAAAAGGTTTAGCTGATAGAAGTAAAGGGTTTTAAAAACTATTGTCCCCAGAGAGGGGGGTCAGGGAAGAGAAGAAACACATAGAGGTTAATGTGTGCCCAAATAGACAGGACACAGCACAGCAGAGGTTGTAGTTACAACAATGTATTGTATGTTTTATAAAGAACTAGAAAAGGGTCTTGAAGACTCAACAGAAAGAATAAGTGTTTAAGAAATTCTCATGGTGGAAACACTCCTCATCACTACTTACTGCAAATACATATCACTCAACCACAAAAATATGCATAACTATTACATGTCAATTAAAAGGAGCATTGACAGAGTGTCTTGTAGAAGGAAGATCCATGGCCACTGCAGGCTGTCTCGACTCCGAGGGGGACTGTGAAAGGGAGGACAATGACATCTATTTCTGTCCTGGTCAGATTTATTATCAGACACCAGAGAAAATAATTTCCTCTTCTTCAGCCTTCACACCAACTCTCAAACCGCTTTATAGGGAGAAAATGACCCACAAACACTGAGAGACACCCACATCGTGAAGCCCCGGTACTGTGGTGGGCTCCACAGAGAACTTCAGATGAGATGGGCAGGACAGACATATGAACTGAGAAAGGCTCCATGAGGAATTCCAGAGAAACGAACAGGGTACAGTTTACTGTTTGCCAGTGTGGGCTGTTGGATGAGACATGGAGTCCCACTCTGTGAGGCTTTGATAGTGCTTTGTGGGCATAGCATTAAACATGAACTTGTAGAGAGACACTGTAACCATGCCTCCTAATGGCTGGCTACAGGTGTGCCTGGCCACGCCCATCAGGGTGTGATCAAGGTGATGTCCGGGTGACATGTGAGAGGTTTAAAGGGACAGACAAGGCACATGGTAGCTCTCTTTTCCTTGCTGCTAGATGCAAGCCCCTTGACTTTGAACTTCTCAGCTTCCTGAACTGTAAGAATAAATCTAACTTCTTCGTAAATTACTCAGTATCGGAATATTTGTTATAGCAACTGAAAATACACTAGGACAAGTTTTATGTTTTGGAGATTTCAAAAAATTATTGTATTCCCAGCAGTTTGATGACAATGCTGCATTGTCTTTTGATTTTCATTGTCTCTGATGAGAAATCTGTAGCTTTAATCTTTATTCCATTGTACAAAATACGATCTTTTCTGATGTGAGATAATGTCCTTGTACACTGTAAAGATTTGTCACTTGTATTGGTTTAATAAAACACTGATTGGCCAGTAGCCAGGCAGGAAATATAGGTAAGGGAATGAGACTAAGAGAATTCTGGGAAGAGGAAAGGCAAAGATGCAGTTGCCAGCCAGACACAGAGGGAACAAGATGGGAATGCCTTACTGAGGAAAGGTACCAAGCTATGTGGCTAAACATAGATAAAAATTATGGGTTAATTTAAGTTGTAAGAGTTTGTTAGTAATAAGCCTGAGCAACAGGCCAATCAGTTTATAATTAATATAAGCCTCTGTGTGTTTATTTGGAACTGAACGGCTACAGGACCAGGTGGGACAGAAACTTCCGTCTACACTTTTCCCTCTTACCTTCCCAGCAGTTTTCTCATGGAACACCTAGGTTTTACTGCTGTAGTTTATCTTCCTAGTCACTTTTTAAACCTCTGAATTCTGTGGTTTGTTGTGTATGTCAATGTTGGAAAGTTCACAGCTGGTTCCTCACTGGTTTCCTCATTTACCGTTTCTCCTCTGATTGCATTTGAGTCTACTAGTGTTCTGCTGGATTCTTTTGCTAACTTTTCTTGTTGAGTTGGTTTTGATTGTTTCTTATCGTTCATTCTGTCTTCACCTTTGCTGATCCGTCCTTGTCTGTAAGCTGTCTGTAGTGAATCCATTGTCTTAGTTAGGTTTCTATTGCTATAATAAAACACCAGGATGAAAAGCAACTTACAGAGGAATAAGGTATATTTCCCCTTACAGCTTATAGTCCATCATCCAGCAAAGTCAGGCCAGAAACTCAAGGCAAGAACTAGAGACAGAAACTGAAGCAGAGACCATGGAGGAGTGCTGCATACTGGCTGTTCCCATGGCTTGCTCGGCCTACTTTCTTATAGTACTCAGGACTACCAGCCCACAGGTACTAGCCACAGTGAGCTAGACCCTCCCATATTAATCATCAATCAAGAAAATGCTCACAGGCTTGCCCATGGGCTAATCTGGTGGGTGGGCTTTTCCTAACTATGCTTTTCCAAATAGCCCTAGCTTGTGTCAAGTTGACATAAAAACTAGCCAGCACAATTGATCCCTTGTCAACTTAACACATAAACATGTTTTTATTCAACTGTAACCCTTCCTTTCTTATTTATCCCCAAGATATCACTGAGACATTAGTATCAATACCTCAATATAAAATAAATTCCAACCTTTGAAAGTCCCACATACTTTAAAAATTCAAAAATCTTAAAATTTTAGCTTCTTTAAAATACCAAAAGTCTCTCTCGAAGTTTATCTAAAACATCCAGTCTCTCTAAAAACCCCCAGTCTTTTAAAAATATCCAATCTTTCAGAAATGTTCAAAGTCTTTCTAAAATTCCAAAATCTCTGCAAAATTCCAAAGTTACTTTAAGATATCCAGGATATGAGTTCCTGTAAAACCAAATAGCAGGTTAAATAATTTTTTTACTCCAAGAAGAAAGAACCAGAGCACAGTCTCCATATGAACAATGCAAAACTAATCTCCAAAAGTGTAAGTAACTCTGTGTCTAATGTCTGACATTCACAAATGGCTCCAAAGAGCTTGGAGGGTTGTATTTCTCTGGCTCTACTATTCACAGCGCACTCAGCTTGTCTCACAAGCTCCAGTTATCAGCACTCCACACCTGCTGCTGTTCTCAGTGGTCATCCCACAGTACTGGCATCTCCAAATTGCTGGGGTCTCTGCAGCTGGGCTGCACCTTCCCCAACAGCCTCTCCCAGGATCTCTTCAGGAACGTTGACCCTGCCACGTGGTACCAACCCTTAACTTCTCTCCATGGCCTTTTCAGACTTGGGGCTTTGATTGCAACTGAGGCTGCGTCTTCACCAATGGCCTGTCCTGGTGCCAACCTGACCTCTGTGACATCTTCATGCCTTCAAATCCAGGACCATCTGAGGGGTTTTCAGATGTACAGAGTTAAGTGCTGGCTCAGAGGACAGCCATGGCCTCCCTGCCCCAGAGCTTCTGTGTGCTGGCTCTGAGGAACACTTCCCTGAAGATTTTTCCTGCAAGATGCTGGTCTCTTGTTAATCACAGCTAATTCTTTAGCTTCAGCTCACCAGAACCCCGTATTCATGTTCAAAATATTGAACAGCCTGAGATTCTTTAAGGGAACCTTGCAAACTTCCCTGTGAAACTTCAAAGGCCAGGCCTCCCTTACCTGCATTGTTCTAAGCATTATCCTCCAGTTCCCACGACAGCTCATTAAGCTCTGAGCACTCAACGGCTTTTCTATCCCAATGTCTCAAAGTCCTTCCACAATCCTCTGCAAAACATGGTCAGGTCTGTCACAGCAATAGCTATTCATTTCTGTCTTAGATAGGATTTCTATTGCTGCAATAAAACACCCTGACCAAAAGCAAGTTGGGTAGGAAAGGGTTGATTTCATCTTATAGCTACAGTTCATCACCCAGCAAAGTCAGACGGGGAACCCAGGGCAGGAACGGTAGACAGACTCTGAAACAGGAACCATGGAGGAGTGCTGGCTCCCATGGCTTGCTCAGCCTGCTTTCTTACAGCACCCAGGACCACACGCCCAAGGGTGCCAGCAGCCATTAATTAGCTGGGCCCTCTCATAACAATCATTAACAAAAATTGCCCACAAGCTTGTCCATGGGCCAATCTGGTAGGATGACTTTTCTCCATTGAAGTTCAAATAACTCTAGCTTGTGTCAAGTAAACATAAAAGGAGCTAGCACCCTCACCAAAGGCCCTGCCTATTCACAATGTATCTTTGCTAGTCTGGTCATTGGATTCATTCTGAAAGTGTCTGTCTTTTTACTGGAATCCTCCACCAGACATGCTTTCCACTTTCCCCACTTGGATCTTTAAGCATCAAAAAAATTGTTTAAAAACAATTCACTCCCGGCTGGTCCCAACATCTGTCACTCTGAGTCTTGTCTGTTTAGTGCCTTGTTTTTTGACACCTCTTTCGTTTCCCCTTCCTTGTGTGATGTTTTTGTTAAAATCTACACATTGTGTTGTCAGTAGGCACTGAGGGTTTTGGTATCTGAAAGCTGTCTTTGCTTTGCTAGACCTTCAGTTTGGCTTTTTGACAGTCTTAGGCAGCCTGATGATGCTAAAACTCTTTTGTTGCTATGGCTACCATGCATGGATCATTTTTAAATTTCTCTTGAAACACAGTGCTTAAAGAGGAGGCCAATTAATTTCCAAAGTGCTTCTTCTGCCTCAGCGTAGGTCCCCTCTGTGACGCACTTGCCAGAGGATCCTTTCCCCACACTGTGGCTGTCTCTTGGCAGCGTCCCACTACAGTCACTACTAGATGTTTGTCTGCATGGTAGTGGCCGGTAGGGAGACAGTCTGTTTTTATGACCAGTCCCAATCTTAGGCAGTACCCTATGTTTGGGGGATGCGACCCTCTCACGGGTTTTGCCCTCCTCAGCATCTGCAGTCTTGGACC